CTGTTGAAAGATTAATTTCCATGCCTTTAATGAAGCCTGCCAAAAGATTAACTAATTAAATTCATTCCTCATTTAGACTTCTCAATAGTTATGTCTTTTTTATAGCAATCATTTTATAGCAGATTTCCTGTTATGTTTAGGCAGTTTGCATTCAGAGAAGTTTGGGAAAGTTGATGATATAAGGAAATATCAAAGCAAAGTACACCTAGCACAAAACTACTTGTTTTTTTTTTTTTTCTCTCTAGCCTGGTATCACTCCTTTCTCTCTCTCTCTCTCTCCCCTCACACACATACATACATATATATATATATATATATATATATATATATATATATATTAATTCAAGAAAGACATTCGGATTACTAACACAAAAACAGAATGTCTCATATCGAGAATATTTAACATTGAAAAACATAAGGAAAAAATTAATTATTTTTAATAATATGTGGAAATCTCCGCTTTTACCTGAAGACTGTCATGAGACCAGAAACCCGTGTAGTAAAATTATGGGAAATAAAGCATATTTTTTTTCTAAAAAAAAACACATTACAACCAAAAATGTTTGCGGCACCTCTCTTCTTTTTAATATACATACTTTTCTCTCATTGGAACCACTACAACCTCTTTCTTATATATATATATATATATATATATATATATATATATATAATGCCCAGACTTGATTTTTACTTAACTTCAATGATTTTGGAGAACATTGTACTTTAGCTATCTATAAGCATATTGCCTTCTACTGTCATTATTAATTTATAGATGTATGAAATTTTACAAATTGTTGGCCCAGTCTCTTGTCAATCAAGCTCACTATAAAGAAATTGTATATATGATCCATCACTGAAAAAGGTTGATTTATTGTACTGTGCCAGAAAGTATTTGACTACTTCAAACATGCTCTCTTTACAAGGGCTAGATCAAACTAAAAATAGAGTATTGCTACCACATCTGGGCTGGAGCTGCCAAATTCTTACTTTGCAGGTTCAACAAAGATCAAATGTGTTTGTGCAGTCTTGTGGGTGATGAATTGTTTTCCACACTAAAACCACTTGCCTCACAAATGAAACGATACTAGCCCTTCATTATTTTTATAGCAGATATTTGGGCAAACTATATTCCTTTGTTCCACCAATTCAGACCTTCACAGCTAGGACTTTTGCTGGGCCATGTAGACAGTTGGCTCCTCTTCATTCCCTTCATGTTCCATTGGTAAGGAAGAAGTACCTCTCAAACAGCTCTTCCCCCAGAACTGTTGCATTGTGGAAAAGACTCCTGAGCAGTCGCTTTCCTAATTACTACAATCTTAACCTCTAAGTTGAAGATCAACCATTATCTATCCTACATATCCTCATGATATGCACCTTTTCTACACCTCCTTGTATGCACTTAAAACCACCTCACTCTAACCTGAGGGGTTCTTGAGTCTTGTATTGTGTGAGCAGTTAAAAAAAAAACAACCTAAAAATAAGTCTAGTATATATGAGATGAAATGTGCAAATGAATTAGTATGAATAAGTGTATAATAATGCTAATTGTTTTCTGGTAGCTGGGAACAGCTAGCAGACACTTGCAGTGGCTGGTGTCATGCTGTTCAAGGTGGAGTCATGAAGGGTGAGAAAAAAGTGAAACCAATAATTTTAAATCAAAAGACAATACAGGAAGAGAGCGCAATCTCCATTTTATTCCACATTCTAACTTTGTCTGTCAAACCTGCAGAAGCATCTACCATGCAAAGATCAAATGGTTAAGCCTCACAAGATATTGTTTACAAAAAGAACAGAATGCTATCATTATCTTGCAAGATATACAGATGCTTACCTAAAATAATGTTCTGTTCTGGTGTCTCATGCTGAGTGGATAAAGAAATGTTTAAGGTCTTTTCTAATTGTTTCAGATGCTAACTGAACAAATGCAAATAAAGAGAATAAAGAATTGTTAGAACATAATATTATGGAAGATATGTTTTACAAATCTGTATGCTAAACTAATATGGGGGTAATTGAATGACAGTGTTATGTGTTTTGCCATTCAAAAAGACTTCTTCAGCAAACAGTAAATTATAATTTTCTTTATATTTACTAGTATTAATTAATAGCTAGCATGTTATGTACACACACAGTCCATCAATAAAAACTATTATTAGCCTGAAAGACGAAACATATAAGGTAGGATTTTTTGCATTTTGTCATTCAATTACCTCTGTGTGTACATAATCTTAAGATCACTTGAGGTGTGAAACTGACAGTCACCAAGCAATCTTGATTTCTGTGTCCACACACACAAAAAAGAAATCCTTAATCATCTTACATAATTCTAAAAGTTAAATATTTTCCCTGTCAGTTATATGAATATGTATAAGCATAGTTTGATACAAATTGTATACTTTAAATTTAAATCAGAAATTAATTTATTCTTAATATTCCTTTTTAATTTCTATATGTAAAAATACCTGAAAAGCTATTGAGTAATTTGAAATTGTAACCAAAGTGGGTTGTATTTCTTCCCTCCAACTCTTTTTAAACATGTGTGTATGTGTAAGACTCCATCAATAAAACTATTAGTAGTTTGAAGTCCTTCTCAAGGATGAAACATGTAATGTAGGGGTTGTTTCCTTTTTGTCATTCAACTACCCATATAATACTATATTGAGCTTAAAGTTACAAAAGTCACCAGTGATGTTCAAAATATACATATTTAATTTCATGTCTGGTGCATTTTTTTTTTTTTTTTTTTTTTTATCTATTTATGTGGCAACGAAACTTTTCAACTTAAAGATCAATATCAGACTAATTTTGTTGCTTATTTGTCCCATTCTTTTTATCAATAAACATATGCTGACTGTTCATCTAGTTTTAAAATAGCTTTGAACTGATCAATTTTAAAAAGAAATGTTCCTCTCTCTTTATAATTCTATGATTTCCTAGACAGATTTCCACCCAATTCTGGATAGTAATTTCAAAAGGCTTCCTTCTCTCACATGCATTTTCATGCACACTTTAAGCTGAAGGTGAATGGGTAAAGTTTGTGTTGTATAAATAGTAAATTAACTGCTAAAGGAAGGAATATTTTCTAAATTTCATATATTAGAAACTCTGACCACTTTGATTTTGTTTTCTATGTCTTATCAACCCTTTGAAGATTATTTAAAGCTAGAAAATATAAGTTTTTTTTTGTATTTTTTTTTTTTGCTTTGGTTTTTGTTGCTTTGGTTTAATGATACAAGTTTTACTAATTAAGCCATATTTGGGAGAGAAGAGGTAAATCATAACTCCCCAAGGATATTTGCACACAAGTGAATATAACAAACCTAACAGGAATTGGAACTTTGACATCCAGCCGCACATCCAATCTTACAATACCTGGTATTCCAAAGCGGGCTAACCACTTAGCTATCTTTGTTGTAATACTGTCTGAAACAGTGAGTTGTATATATAAAAAAAAAAACCCAAAAAACTAGCTTATAAACTCTTCATAGTATGTATACAGGGTGTGATGTGTAAATTATTGCCATTTTATATTTTTAATTTTGTACATATGCATTGTTTATTTTTTATTTTTGTTGGCTACACAGTATAGTAGGGTCAGTTGGGCACCATCTATGAGAAAAAAGAGCACCATGACATAATTCATTCCACCAGGAATTTGGAAATGGCCTGCTGTACTGCTTAGCATTCATGCTGGGAGCTCCAATACAAAGATTTCAGAGTGTTTGGGTGTCAGTCTGAGAACAGTATAGAGGATTCTGAAAGAGTTGGATGAGTCTAATGGTGATTGCGAAGGTACAACAGTTTGGAAAAGTTACTTTGATACCAACTCATGAATTTGTTGGTGAGGGCCTCAAACTCCCGGAAGCCTACATCAATTGCCTTGATGAGATAATGCTGCCCTGAGTCAATAAGGTGGCAACAGGACTCTGCACCAAGCTAGACAAGCAGGAAAACTCTGTAATGGCTATCAGACAATTTCTGCAACCACATCACCCCTTACATCTGGCCACTTGACTCCCCAGACTGCAACACCCTTGATTATTATGCGTGGGGTGCAGTTTAGTGAGAGACCAACAAAACACCAAAGATGAACTGAAGGCAAAGATTATGGCAGCATTCACCAACTTAGAGACCATCCAGAAGAGTTGCAGAAGATTCCAAAGTCCTCTGGAGGCTGTGGTTGAAGCCAATGGTGACTTTATTGAATAAATTTAATCTTAGTATTCAAAGATATTTTTTGCATAATTTTGGTAAATATATCTGTTAAAATGAGATGTTACTGTTATTTTAATTTTGCGTAATTTAGACAGCAATTTATCTATCACACTACTATTTTAACTGTTAAAAGAAATGTACATTGGGTTTGAATATTCTGAATACTTGCTTTTTGGCAGTTCAACAATAAACTTCCTATGATGTCTTTGTTATAAAGGGTTGGACTTTTTTCTTGTGTTTAATAACAGAGACTTGGGACATGTGAGTTTTTTTTTTTAATAATTATTTCCATTTTCTTTTGTATAACTTGGTTGGGTTTTAAATACTTTCTTTTCTGTTGCTATAGATGAAAATAATTTTCTATTTTTGCCTAGCCCTGCCTATTAACACAAACTTCTTTTCTTTACTTACATTATTTACACTTGAATTATTTTCTTCATCTTTATTATCACAACATTTTGGCTGTTATGCTATCCAGCCTTCTTCAGATATGTCAATCTAGGTAACCTTCAGAGAATTTCAAAATTTCAGTTTTAAATTTTTTGAAGATTACCCAAATTGATGGCACCTGAAGAAGGTTGGAGGGTATAATGGTCAAAATTCTGTGATTATAACAACAAAGATGAGGACATTAGTCAGTGTAAATAATAACTCCTGATCTCAGAAATTCAGACAGAAATTTTTTTGTGTTCAACTTTAAATGTATTATAGTTTAGCTTATTGGAACTCTGTTTTCTGATTTCCAATTCCAAACCATTGTACATTACACCACCTGCACATCAAAGCTTACAGCATCTGCTATTCCCAAGTGGTTGCCCATCTGAGTACTGACTAGGCTCATTGTTGCTTAACTTTGGTGGTTGTATGAAAACTGGTGTTTCAATGTGATAACAACTTAGTCAGAAATTTAGAAAAAATTAAGTCATTATTGTTTAACAAAAATTATTTAAAAGAATTCTTATTCAGTGCTCAAGAGTCGTAGGTACTTCAATAAAACTGTTTTTAGCCATCTTCTGACATAGTAACACTCATGTCATTGCATCATCTATGTCAGATCTTTAGGTGGTGATGCATATTGTAATAAGGTCCAATGTTGTTAAAGAGTTCAGTGCAAGCAGGTGTGATGTCATACATTTATTCCTTTTGTTCAATTAGAGCCATTTGAGAGGTGCTTTTGAGAGCATGGTCATGTCACATTTGCTGTGCATGTTGGATATAATGTGTTAGTGATATTTTGATGTTGGCAACATTGGTCAAATAAACGTCTCTACACTTGTGGCCTACCTTTTTAAGATGTCTATGTAGTACAGACACTCTTCCAAACTGGAAACTGTTGTATAAAACTTATTTGATCTGGAAAGTCGGGTGCTCATCATTTTTCAAAAGGAAATGCCAAAAGCCACACAAATTAGTTTTGGTTGTTAATCTTCTAATATCACCTTGTTTATTCACTTCAGCTTCATACTGAGGACTGATATCTACAATGTTAGAAATGTTTATAAATTTTTTACTAGTCTTTTGTTCTATAACTTTTCATTGAAAGTAGGAAAATTCTTTTATATTAAAGTGGTCTTATATTTAGCTATCTTCAAAGAGCATTGTTTGTTAAGTTTTAACTATATTAATGTTCTTTTCAGTTTTAATAACAAAGAATGATTGACTTTTTTTGTTGAAAGTTGTTCGATGTGTTAGGCTTTATTATTTGACTAGATTTCCAAAAACTACTCTGCTAAAATTATCTATTACTAATTTCAAAAGAATTTTCAGTTTACTTTGTTTTTGCCAATTTTTTCTTCTGCTGAAAATACATTTTTGTTGGCAAGTTTCATAAAAGCTTTCTCAAAATAAACTTGATCCAAATATTGACCTTAGTATAGATTTTACTTTCTATTAGGTATTTATAAAATGTTCTTAAATAATCAATAGTTTTTTAGTGATTGCATTCTTTTTCAAGTATGAAGAATAAAATAAAAACTATATATATAAAAAAAAGTTACAAACAAAATGTGATTGGATCCAATTTAATATTGGTTTAGTCATTTCAGAATTTACTAAAGTAACTGTTGTGAAAAAATCCTTTTGCTACAATTTGAAGTACTTTTCTTTGTTATGGTCAGCTATTAATAGCAGACATTATCAGCATTTCTCCAAGAATCTTTTGTCTGCTACTGAGCTAAAGTAATTAAAAATGATTTATTACATCTTTGACAATATATTTTTTTGCATTATTTGCAATTTTCAAGAAATTTTAAGTTAATTGAATTTTTTTTTTAATTTGTTAATCATTACAGCTTATACAAAAAAGTTCAATAAAAAAAAAAGTTAACATTCATTTTACTGCCTATTATCAAAATATTTTCTGATCTGGAAGCATTGTTCATGTTATAATGTATGCTCATTATCAATGGAATTAAATGACACTTATTTTTTGTTGGGGTGGAGTAGACATTGCAAAACAAGTTTAATGCTTGCTGAAATGCTAAGAAAGAAATACTGCTATTTCACCATGCCTTTGATAATATAATGAGCCATTTGATATTTCTTAGTATTGGTTGATTGTAGCGTTGCAGCTCAGACCAGACACCAGATTCATTCTCAGGGCACAGCTTCTTCCAGTTCAACACTTATAGCTTAAAAAAAAACACACATACTCTTTGGGCAGATCATTACCCACAAAATAAATCCATGAGACTAGATTGTAGTAGCAAGTAAATTCAAGTTGTAATCTCCTGCAGTTGACAAACCAAGCGTAGGTTGGGTGTCAAACAGTCTAATGGACATGTTTTCCTTTTCACAACAAGTAACTTCTCATACCTTTCTGTCCACTCTCTGTGGGTTTCTTTGTCAGGGTTGTTTGACATGGTTCTTGTAAAGTCCACTTTCCTTAGCTGATAATCAAAACAATAACTGTCTGGAACAATTTCTGTAACATCCTTCAGATGTTTTCATTTAACAAGATATTGGCTGACACTGATAATGCTACACTGATGAAAAACAGATAATAAAGAAAAATTGACTTGTGATCAAATATAATTGTATCCTCAAAAGTTATCAAACTAACTTCTGATCAGCTGTTTATAGAAATGTTTTTTACCTCACAGTTCAACTTTAGTAGTAAGCAACATTTTTATTTATAAACTTTTATTCTTAATACTAACCTTTTTAAAGGTACTCTGAGGTGCTTAGGAGACATTTATTTTATTTTTTCCCCCTTCCTCCTGAAATTAAGACCATGCTGTTTATTTACTTTATCCTCATTTATCCCCATTTATTGCATATTAAGAAAAATCTGACCCCCCCCCACACCCGATATGATATTTTTTAATTTGAAAAAATTTATTAAAAATTTAAAGTTTTTCACATTTAAATAAAAATTTAAATTAGAAGTGATGGCAGATTGTAAACATGAAAATCCTTTGTAGTACTTGCAATTTTGACTGAATGCCTTTTAGTTCTAATGTTCTAGCCTAAGTTACCACTCCTTCTTAAAAAAGAAATTGCTTTTAAACCACTTTACCCAGGTTTTTTCTTTTTTGTTATAACGCCCTTATCCCAGGAGTCATAAATTAGCATGTCTCTTAGTACAAAATGACACTGTAATAACAGCATTCTCTTCCTCTTGCTGTGTGTGTCTAGTAAGAAATATTATATTTTATTAATGCTTTTGATTATATCACTTCTATTTTTTCCTGTTAATTTTTGTTCCTTCCCATTACAACTATTACCTTTTTATTCCTTTGTTATCAGTAGTTGTGGCCAAACCCTGTACACACAAAGTAATGTCTTCTCATCTGAAAATTATGGTAATTTCATGACCTCCCTATCTCAAGTCACTCTGTTTTCCACTTCACTCTAACAAGCTTTCATTTCTAAACTGAGAACAGGTCATGCCTGTATTTTTTTTTTTGTCACCTCTCTTCCTCACATAGCTTTACACATTGTGTTTACACTTTGAGTTCTAGCCAACTACCTTTTTATTTTGTTCTCTTGGCCCCTCTTAAGGATTATATAGCTTGAACATCAATGGCTTTTTCCTCAAAGAGGAGTTAAGTATTTCCTGATGTCTGTAGCTATACTGATATTTTTGTAATGCACATCTGATCTGGTGTTGCCTTTAACATTATGCCTTAACTTTTTTTAGTGTTTTATGAAAGCATGCTATGAAATATATTTATTTTATGAATGTTAAGTACGCTTTAAATTTCTAGTAGTTGAATTTTAAATTTATTTTTATTTTACAAAAATATTGTGTAAACTTTCAAAAGTTGCTGTTGCAATCTTGAAATCCCTTGTAAAGTCTACAGAGTGTAAAGAAATTAATCTTTATTTTTATAAAGTTCATGCCTATAAAGACAGGCATGCCAGTTTTACATACTCTTTAAAAATCTGCTTGAAATTAATGGGATAGGGTGCTTGAATAGAATGAGTTGATTGTATGCTTGTTAAATTTAACTTTGTTGCTTTTGTTTCAATCTAATAATTCTGGTAATTCAGTTTTCCCTTTCGATTTCTCTTTATTTGTTTTCTTATCCATTTATAATTCCTAATCAGATTTTAAGGATTACCTGCTGTTAATTGAAGATTAAATTTGCATATTCCTGCTTACTTTAATATGACCTTAAATTTCATATTGATTAAATTCTATTGATTTTTTTTTTTTTTTTTTTTTTTTTTCTTTTAAAATTTTTGTTATAGTTTTTGTCTCCCTCCCCCTTTTCAATACTCATATCCTGAAGGCACATAGGCATTATGGCTCCTCACAGATTCCCTTTATTACCTGTAAATTGCTATACTTTCTTGGGGAAATATAGTGGTATTGGAGTGATTTCCTGTTGCCTTCTAAGATTCTGAATTCAGTTTTCCTTTTTTTAAACTAGTTGCAAACAAAGGCAAGAGCCTAGTCTACCTTGTTATTTGACCATTTATTTGCATTATTGCAAAAGTAAACAACAGATCATATTGTTGCATTGTTAAATTTTATGTTGGTTTTAGATAAAAAAAACAAAATAAGTAGCTGTGTTGGTATTGGCCTTAAATAAAATTGATTTATATATATATTTTGAGTACATGTAACTGAAATTTTCATAGTTTTGATTTAAAAAAAAAAAAAAAAACCCTGATAAGGATACTTGTCAAATTACTTCATCTGAGAAATAAATTCACTAAAGATTTGTAGCAAGGTCTCATCATTTTACAATTGAGGTGGCTAAATGTAACCATAAGTTCTATGCTAACAGTTTCTTCCATTGCACTTCTCACTTGTGGAACTCTCTTCTGACTTCTTGCTTCCCAGTCAACTTTATCTTCAAAAATTTAAATGCAATGTCAATTATTCTCTTGTCTTAATTCTTGTTCTTTTATTGTCCTCTCTCCTTAATAGTTTTTCTCATGTTCTCTAACATTCATTAATCCCTTGCGTCCTTGTGGCATTATTGCCTTGCTTGGGGTGAAATAATTAAAAAAAAAGAAAAAAAGAAAATATAGAAAATAATTCCACTATTTGGACAACTGTACTATTAGTTTCTTTAAAGTCATTGAATGATTTGAATTTTAAAGCCTTAATGGATTATTTGAAAAGAAATTTATATTATAAATATAGAAATAATGATTCCCCCCCCAAAAAAATGGAACTTTATACAACATACCACCAATGTTCTGATAATTGTTCAGCACATTATTTTATTGGAACGCTTTCTGAGAAATTTCTATTTATCCAACAAGACAGCTACAAAAATTGTCCAATGAAAATTCAGTAAACATATTGAATAATTATTATCCAATAATAAAGTTGCACACACCTCACAAAAGTAGTATGTTTATTGGCCTTTTGAAATATCATATTTCTCTAGCAGTTCTTTTGTTGGAGAGCAGCCATTTTCACAAG